ATATATAAGGGATCATATGAGAATGATAGATATTGAAAGAAATAAGAATGATTCTGAACCAATGGATCCAACATATCAATGGTCATTGATTAATCAAATTTATTAAATAATGATAAAACTGTCAATGGTGATCCCGTAAATAAGTGACATGATGTGGTCAAATGTTTAAATTCACCCACTTAGTAAGGACATTCTAGTTATTTTACATCCATCCACTATCTCATGTGGGTCCCACCAATCATAATAACAATCCACCTCTCTCTCTCATCTTTCTCTCAAACCGGCACTCTCAACACAACTCCCAACCCTCTCTCTCACTCACGGGCACATCGCCGGTGACCACCTGCCTAACGCCGGCGGTGTCGCCGGCCACTACTTCCTTCAGCACGCGTCATCACCGTCTTTAACAAATTAATTCGACGGCCAGTTGGAGCCCGCGACTCACCGACCAAATGTAGCGGCTGACGGAATTGAGGCGGCGGGCGGCGGCGGTGTGACTCGTGATGGACAGAGACGAAGATATGTGCTTGCGGACGGAGATGATGTGTTGTGCTGGCTGACAGACAAGGCGGCGAGCAGGCGGACAGAGGCTGTGCAGTGCGGTGGCAGAAGAAGGCGAAGAGTTTGTGTCGGCTGACAGTGATGAACTGGCTGACGGCGCCGACGCGGCGCGACGACGGTACGACGGCGACGAATGCTTGCTGTGCGAGACTCGATGCCGGTGGTGTGTTGAAGGAGTTGGACGAGAAAAAAATGTCCATCGCTGAGGAGTTTCTTTCCTCATATTCTGGAAGTGGTTTTGGGGTTTCTTTTTGGTAAATTAGATAAACTATAGGGACCAATTTGCAATTTGAAAAAAAAAACTTTTAATTATGAATCAACATAATTGTTGATTAATTATATAATTTAGTAAAAATCTATTTAATATATAATGTTGATAAATAATTTTAACAATATTGTTATGGTTATTCAATTTAAATTATCAAAATTTTAGAAATTAGTATTTTATGTTTTTTAATTGATAATTTATATTTTTTTTTTATTAAAAAATTACTATATATGTACACGAAATATAATGTGCAATATATAGTTCTAAGGTGAAATTCGTCTAACAATTTGGTGCACGGTGTCGGTCGGTACTGTGCAGTATGAATCTTCTGGACTTTTGTCTCAAAATCAAATCGAAATAATCATTTTATTTATATAAAAAATATATACGTGATTAATTTTATATATTATTTTAGATTAAAAAATTTTAGTTCGGCCGATTTCTATTCTTATTGTACAATTTGATATCGTGTTAAAGTGCAACGTATTGGTTTGTAAAGTGCAATGCGCTGTTTTATAAAGTGCAACATACTGGTGTTTAAAGTGAACTATGTACTGTAATTTTGGTACGTTACCATGCTCGTGTTTTAGTGAACAAATTATTTAATTGATGTTAAAGTATTATGTACCCGTTGTTTTTAGATTTATATTGTGTGACATTTTGGCCGAACATTTTTCACCTCAATTGAAGAGTGGGATGATAAAGTGCAACGTGATGTTTTATAAAGTGCAACGTATTGTTTTATAAAGTGCAACTTGTTGTATTATAAAGTGCAAAAATTCGCTATATAAAGTGCAATAATATATAAATTAAATTGTGTGTATTCGAACGCTATATGAAAGCTGTTATTTTTTTTTATAGATATAAGTGTATATTGAATTAAACCTAAATAATTAAAATATATTTTTATTTATTATTTTTATTACATTATTTATATATTATTATAAATTATTTTTGTATTATTTTTATATTTTATACTAGTTTTATTCAATACTTTATTTATTGTTTAATATATATGCATAAAATATATATATATAAAGAATTTTTTATTAAATCTCAATAATTGCAGATTTGACCCAGGGGTAAAATTAAAATAAAATTAATATTACTAAAATTGCAAATACATCCCTATAGGTAACCTAATTCTCAAAAATAAGGCCCAAATCCCACAGTCCAATTTCACCAATTTTTCCGGCAGGACTCGGCTCAGGCAAGCACATGAAGGACCCTCCGACGATGGTGTGACCTCCGCCCGGCCACACCGCCACAGTCGCCCCCTCTCTCCGGTAAGCACTCCTTGCCGGTTTCATATTTTTTTTGAAGCGTGCACGACCAGCGGCGGCGTTGGAGGGCGCCAGCCGCCGGAATCATTGCGAGTTCATGGTGTCCACCGGAGGTGTTCAAGGTCTATGAGCAGCAGTGGTGGTGAAATCGAAACAAATGGTGGTTGAACGACGGCCCCCGGAAGAGGAGATCCGTGACGATGGCGAGTGACATAGTCGAAAATGTCCGACGAAGAAGAAAAAATCAGTGACGACTTAGAGTGAATGACGACGACAGAGAAAGGCGGCGGCTGCGGCGGATGTAGGTACGGCGACCTACGGGTGTGTATGTTGAGGTGTGTGTTTCTATTTTCTGTGTGGTGATTAATTTTGACAAATTGTTGTGTGATTAATGTTTGACTGGGTAGTAGATAAGGGTTGGTGCGTGTGACCCACATTTAATTAGATGATGGTCAAGAGTTGGTAGCTGTAGTGGTTCTGGTGGGGTCTACATATATACATAAAAATGTCTAATATACTTCATTAAAATGTCTAATATACCCTTAATGAAGGTATAATTTGGTTTTTTTTTGTAGCCATTAGATCATTCAATCTAATGGTTATGATTTATTCTCATTTCTTTCATGGAGAACCATTCTCATGTGAACCCAATATATATATATATATAGGGTTGGGTTCACATGAGAATGATTCTTAGTGAAAGAAATAAGAATAAATTATAGCCATTAGATCCTCCAATCTAAGGGCTACAAAAAAATCATTATAAACCAAAAATACACATTTATTAAGGGTACTGAAGTAATTTTATACAATACATTAAACACGTAGACCTACCACACATTAATGAATCTGCCACCTAACACACACACACACCCGTCACACCACCCACTCCACCCCACCCTCTCTCTCTCCTCACACGCACAAATAACTCACAGACCACAACCTTCACTTGCAGAAGTTTAATGTGGAGCCGCCCATCTATTGTGTCGTCGGCAGCCGCCCTCTCGCGCCGCCACACTTCGCCGTCGTCACTTCCCACACGTCGCTTGTCGCTCGCCGACAGTCGTACCCGCAGCACTCGCCTCCGCCGACATAGCCTCCTCCGCCGACACAGCCTCCTCCGCTGCCGAGATCGAAGACGGCCGCCTCTGGCCAGATCGGAAAACAAAGTTGATAACATCTACGGTCCTCCGTTTGCTCCGTCCCGTCGATGTATGTCCGACGTCAATTTTCTGAATATGGGCGGCGAGTTCGACCGGAGTCCGTGGATATTCGAGCGTGATGACTGCCGGTTATTAGGTTTTCCGCTGCCGTCGAGATTGCTTCGTCGACGAGCAGAGAGACCGCCGGAGATGACCGGAGTGTTGACAAGACATAGATGCAGCTTGACGTTTTTTGAGAATTTGATATTCACCAGGGACTTGATTGCAAATTCGAAAATTTTGATTAAATTGCATTTAGTCCTTGGGCATAATCTGTAATATAGAAAACTTGTATTGTGTGTTGGGTGTTGTATTTTTATGAAATGTCAATTTAGTCCATGTGTCAAATATGTAATTAACAAAAATTTTATAAAACTATTATTCTTTATATATTATTATACACACATAATCTATATAATATACATAATAATTATTTCAATTATATTATATAGATAAATAATGTAATAATAACAATTATAAGATATAATTGTAACAAAATAAATAATAATATATTTTTATTATTATATAAACATAATTTTAAATATCTTTCCTTGTTTTATAAATGCAGTTGGATTGCACATTAGAATTTAATATATTGCACAATAGCGGCCGTCAGAGCGCACTTTAGCGACCAAGAAAACGTCTGAACTAAATTTATGTGTTCTAATTTTACGTTTTGGTCGATTAACTGCTATTACTTTTAAAAACGGACATACATAATACTTTAACATCAATCACGCCGTTTATCCGCACAAAACACAAGTATGTTCACGTACCAAAATTACAGTAGGTGTAGGTCGACTTATACACTAACACGTTGCACTTTATAAAACAATACATTGCACTTTACAAAACAATACATTGCACTATACAGAACAATACATTGTACTTTAACACGATTATCATATTGCACAGTAGAGATCGAAACCGATCGACCTCAATTTTATTCAACAAAAAATAATATAAAAAATAATAAATAAAGTTATTAACATACTAAATATATTTACTTTTGATAGTTCATATCCCCCCTATATATTAATTCAAAACGTGCTGAGCCTAAATGGTTGGCTCGCACGCTTCGGATTCTTACTTGGCTCAATTTCATGCTTCGGTATTTGGTTTGGATAACTATTATTGTTATTTTAGTTTAATTACTTTAGGTTCGGACATAGGTTCGGACATTCCATATATAATAAAAAGCTAACTTAGGTAATTTCATATCATTTTCACTAATATAACCTTGAAATGTTTTTTAATCTTACACCTAAAAAAATAGACGTATGTTTGTTTTGTAATCTTACACATACAAAAATATAAACGCACATAACAAATTTAACCCTTCAATTTGCCATTAATGACTTTCCAGTTGAATGGTTCTGTCAAAAAGAACTCTTCATCTTCCTTTTTCTGCTGCTCCAAAACCTTTTTTCCTCCTTTGCCTTTGCCGGTGCTTCAACTTCAAAAGCGGAGCTTGGAACTATGCCTCCGGGCCAATTTCATAACCGATGCTTTCTGGCCCCCACTGCTGTGCTTTAGCCCAAATTTATTGTATCAATTTAATTCCTACAAAGTGGAGGATACGCTGCCATACGACCTCTGAGGTTGGTTGAAAAATTAATTTAATTATTTTAGTCGTGGATAGCTTTGAGAATTTTTTCCAAACATATCTTAAGCTTATGGTTTGAGAAATCTAAAATTGTTGCACCTAAAATTATTATTTTTAATATTTTTGTCCCATGAACTGCTTTTAAAAATCTTAAGTATATTGTTTACCAAACAATCAACTAATTTTCTCCAGGATTTTATCGCAATTTATTTTTATCTCACGACCAGTTTAGAAAGAAATCTTAACCTTATGGTGTACCAAAAAATTGACTAATTTTTCCAAGATTTTATAACAATCACATAAATCACAATAAAACCCGTTTTTCCTTTGATTTTGTGATCCTTTATATTATTCCTTATTTTGTGTAGCTGTATATTTTGTTTCCATTTTGTTAGTCACATCCCCATTGGTATTGGATGTTGAAATCAATTATTTATTTAGGCAAAATTGTGCCTAATATCACCACCTTTATCGAAATTGCAAATTAATCACGACTTTTGGACTTTGGCGCACAATATCATGATCTTCAATTTTTGGCAATACGGTACATGAAATTCCTCAGCTCCCCAAAAAAAATCGACGTGGCTTAAATTTGCCACCACGGAGGCTTAGCCGGCGGTCCACCTCAGAGCAATACGGCGTCGTTTTAATTCTTTTTATCCACGTCAGATCAAAACAACGTCGTTTCGATATCCTAGCAATACTGAAGTCATTAAACCCTAATTCCCTAATTCAGAAAAATGCAGAAAAATGCAGAAAAAACAAGAAAGATTCATAAAAACCTAATTAGCCATAACCTTAATCCCTAATTTTTTAATTCCATAATCAATCAACTTCATGGTTTCCAAATTCAGAAAAATTAAACCTAATAAGACATTAAACCCTAATTTCCAATTTAAACAATCTACAGGCTTAAAGCAATTACCATGGATACATGTAAACTAGGCTTACCAATCGATTTTTGCACCTGTAGAACCTCCTACTCGAATTTCGATCGGTATTAGAGGTCAGCAATTCGGCCTCACCATGGATACATGTAAATTTTGATGTTGTACTCCTACATGAGCTGGATTTGGTTGACATTTTGCCTACTCTTTCTTCTCCGATGACGAAAATCCAGCCCCAAAAATTTTCTCCTGCAGATTGAAGAAGGGTTCATCGACTGATTTGGGGATTTAATCAGCAATTTACCACTCAAAACGGCGTCGTTCGATCTGAGGTGGAAAAAAAATACTCAGATATCGAAACGACGTCGTTTTGATCTGACGTGGATAAAAAGAATTAAAACGACGCCGTATTGCTCTGAGGTGGACCGCCAGCTAAGCCTTCACGGTGGAAAATTTAAGCCACGTCGATTTTTTTTGGGGAGCTGAGGAATTTCATGTACCGTATTGCCAAAAATTGAAGATCATGATATTGTGCGCCAAAGTTCAAAAGTCGTGATTAATTTGCAATTTCGATAAAGGTGGTGATATTAGACGCAATTTTGTCATTTATTTATTGCCATATATATTTTATTCACACCTTTTTATACTACCATGTATAAAATTGACTATTTAGTTCATTCTTTTTATTTGAGTGGGTGAGGAGATTGTACATCACGTACAACATACAAGAATGGGAACGACATACAACTCTGTTGGTGAAATCACTAAAGAAAAAGAGACATGGCGAATTCGTGTTCGTTGTTTGCGAGTATGGTTTAAGCACGTTCCAAACCAGCCCGATATCCGCCAATCTATGGAGATTTGTATTGCGGATGAACATGTATTGCTTTTCATATCATTTTTAATTTTTTTTTATGCCACTTGCTTTGTCAAACTAATTTATACTACTTCTTTTTATAGGGTGATAAGATACAAGCGACGATTCCGAAATGGCGTATTTCAAAATTTGAGAAAGATATTCTTGAAGGAAATTTTTATGTAATGATAAATTTTGAAATTTTGGACAACACAGATGACTATAAGGCTACCCCACATAAGTGTCTGTTGAAGTTTCATAATTTGACGTCGGTGAAGCTGCTGACAGAGAATCTTAACATTCCTCGATACATGTTTAATTTCATTAATTTTGACGAGCTTCGGAATAACTCTGAGTACAGTTCCTGTTTATCTGGTATGTAAATTAAACTTCATCTGTTGTATTTAATTTGGAAATGACGTATGCTTTTGCATTTCCCATCTGTTGGTGCTCATGTCGAGAAACGTATTATGCAACATATCTGTCGAGAAACGTATTATGTAACATATTTTTTGTATTTTCATTATTCTTATTGTCATGTAGATGTTATTGCCGAAGTCTATGATGTTGATGAACTTGTCAAAATGGATCGGGATGGTCATCAATTGACGAGAATTAAGATACATCTCCGAAACTTGAGGTATGAGATCTTGAAGCATGATATTGAAATTTTAAAAATTGCTATAAAGTCAACATATGTTTTAAAACATTAACTGATCTTTATATTCAGTAGGAAATCTTACTGTAGCATTATTTAGTTGTTCAAAATAAGCATTTCATTGTTTGAGCTTAAATAATGAGTATGTTAAGCGAAAAGACAATAAAAATATATTTATTCTATGTTTTGAACTTATGTTTTATTAGCGGCGATACTATGCATTGTACATTGTGGAACAAATTCGCCATGCAAATGATTGAATTCTGGAAATCCAACCATGATGCGCCAGTTGTTATTATACTTCAATATGCTATGGTGAAGAGATGGGGAGGTAATAGCCGAAAGAGAGGATTTATCATAGCTTTTTTTTTTTTTTATTCTATAAGTTTAAATTAAATTTTGGTTGGTTTGAATACAGCGCATGTGAATTTGCAAAATTCTTTGTTTGCAAGTAAGTTGATGATTAATGAAGACATTGGTGACATTGCCTCTTACATGAATAGGTAATTTATGATAAATATTTTCTGTCACTTTGTCCATTTGTGTTTTTTTCCCTATTTCATACAATAAAATGACTTTTGTAAAACCTACCTATTTCTTGCATCATGCTGTTGAATTTTATTATTCCACATTTAAATTTGGATATTTTACTTTTTTATAGTTTAAAGGACAACAATTCAGTAGTTTCTTATTCTTCAAGAGAAGAAGCATCTCAAGGATCAACTATTGACGACTTCCCGTCTGAGTTGGAGTTCAAAAGTATAATTGATTTGGAATCCGTAAATGAGGTTATTTTTTAATAAAATTTATTTATTATGTTTTTAAACGGAGTATTTATTATGATATACAAACACAATTTGATCCAATATATTCATTAAAATTTGTAATGCAGGAATGCTCATGTATTCTACATTGCAAGGTAGTTCATATACAAACCAATCAAAATTGGTATTATCATGCTTGCAACAAATGCTACCGTAAACTTAAGGAAAAAAGAGAAGACTTCTGGTGCGATAATTGTAATTGTCGTCCAAATGTGGTTCTGACTCGGTGAGGATGCAAAATAATATAAATTGAAGTTTCAGTTTGTTTAGTTTTTAATAGCATACTATATTTTGTTTTGGGATAGCAATATACTAACTATTTTCTATATTCACGAATGCATAGATATCGTGTGCACGTCCGTGTGGAAGACAATACTGGAACTGCATCCTTTATTCTTTTTGACCCTCAAGTGTTTCCCATTATTGGGAAACGAGCTGCAGACCTAAAACATTCACTAGATATGGTAACCAAATCTTAATTTTGTTGATAGTAAATCATATTTTGACTTCATGAATGATATGTTGTCTTAATTGATTTGGTCTGGTGATGGTGACTCATTTCCCGATGAGCTTGAACAATTAGTCAAGAAAAGCTATTTATTCAAATTGGACATAAAGAGGTTCAATCTAAACCAGCGCATAAGGGTCTACACAGTAGCAAAACTCACCCAAGATGCAACAATCATTTTTAAATGGTGCAATGCTGTTGGTGATGACATGGTATATTATTATTATTATTATTATTATTATTATTATTATTATTATTATTATTATTATTATTATTATTATTATTATTATTAACCATATATATAGTTTTACACAACTTTTTTTAAAGAAATTTATATAATTTTCAAATTGTTAATTCTTTCTTATAGGCTTCTACTAAGGACAAATCTCCTGTGGAATCTTCTACCATTGCACCATTCGTTGAACTTGATACGGTTAGTATAAATTTTTGGTGGCAGTAATGTTAAATGAATTTTCCAGCCCAAGTCGTATTAGATACCCTTTGTAAGCATAAAATTTTATTTCGTTTATCTCTTATCCGTGCAGAGTATTGTTTCATTGATCGGTGATAGTGCTAAAGGAGATGAGTTGAACCCCTCTTCAAATAAGCGTGTCGCTGTTGACAATAATCTGGAAGCTTTTGTTGATGATGATTTTATTTCGCAGCAGTCCTGCACTAGAAAGAATGCAAAAGTCAAAGTTGAGAAGATAGACCTTTAGTTCTTTTAATTAAGTTGTTGCATTATTACTCTTAGATTATGCAATTGATGCAGTAGACAAATATTATGGGGATGTTTGTTTTAGTCTTTGGTTCAATGGGATGATTAATTAAAAACTATCTTTTGTATTAACTCTATGATTTTCATTTCCATTAAATATTATTATCTTATCCTATATTGTATAGAATGATATTGTCAATGTTTACGATTAATGAATAATGATCTATTAAATTAATACATTTAACATGAAAAAAAAATACATACTATATATAATAATCTATATCTATATTTATATAAAATCTTAACATGTTTTAGAAATATACTGTTGCTTTAACATTTACTTTTATTTCTCTCCTTTTTTTTTACTTTTAAATTTTTCTGCATTTAATATCCATTAATTTTTCTTATTTTTTATTTTCATTTTTGGTATTAAATATGAATATCCTCTTGGAAAACATTATAGTGTTTTTTAATATTTTTGATATCTATTTAGATAATAGATAATATTAAATTATTATGTACTATATTTAATTAACATTCATACATATACAAAATGAATTGTAAGTTCATTAATTAGGGTTTAGATTGTAAAACCGACAACCACAATGCCGAATCGTATCGAACCGAATAAAATCAATTCGGTTAGGTTATTATTTAATATGTTACGTATTTACCGGTTCGGTATTGTATTCTTCATTTTCGGTTCCAGAGTTTGGTTCTTTTTTCCAAATTTCCTTAAAACAGAACAAAGACTGATCAACTTGTAAAATAGTGCTTAAATGTTAAATCAACTCGGACGGATAACGTGTAAATTTGTGGACCGGGCCGGACCATTAAAGATAAACAAATAAACAAATACTATTACTTATATCTTACAACATCCTCAGGAAAATAGAAGAAGAAAATGGTGTGCTTCTTTTTTCTTTTTTATTCATAATAAATAATTAAACCATTTGTTCATAATGAGGGCATAGGCCCACTCAAGCCAAAGATTTTTGTGTCATAAAAATGCCATAAAACAAAAGAAAAAAGAAAACGAGTTTTAAAATTTAGAATTGTAAGTTCATCCCCCGTCCCAGTTCCCGCTCAACCCTCTTCTCTTCCTCAACTCTACCCCTTTGGCGGCGGTGCGTGCCGCCCTGAATCTCTTATGAAGTTTATCTCCGATTAGATTTTCATCTCTTATCAGCACAGGGACAATATTCAGGCGACCAAAATTGGCCGCCTTATCGGGAAAGATCCGATTAGCTTCTGTTGTGCAGCGTTGATCCAAAATTGGTTGCTCTCTTTCCAAATCACTTTTCGTGCTTGCATTTGTTATATTTATTTGATTAGCTCTTTTCCTTTTCCAAATCTCTTTACACTGCAATTTTGGGTGAAGGCTTTTTTTGTTTTAAGGATGAAGATTTCATGTTAAGGATGAAGATTAAGGATGAAGATTTCATGTTATTTTCTTTATTTTTTAAATTTAATGGATTTTGGTAGATTTATATTTATTCCACAAATCTTTTAGTTGCTTAATTTTATTTGACCATTTTTTTTCTTTGTTGAGTTTTCAGTCATGATATTTGATATGTCAAATGATCCACATGTGGTGATACATGTTTAGACTCATGTTTCTACCTTCAAGAGGTTTCATATTATGCTTCAATCGATTATGTGGTTGTTTAAATAATGAGTATGGAAGCAAAAGGACCAACATACATATTATAATTCAGTATCTTACTGTACCATTATTTTTATGGTCCAAAGTAATCGTTCATCTTATGCTTCAAATGTTTATGTAGTTGCTTAAATAATGAGTATGGAAAGCGTAAAGAACAACAGACATATTAGAATGAAGAAGTTGAAAGAAAAACGTGGAATTTCTCATTCTCCAAGCGATCATATTCCAATTTTGTCAAGTGAGTTTTTAATTATTGTAGATTCTTTTTGTTTGTGAGTACATATATTATAAAAGTTTTCTTTTTATTGTACCTTAGTTGGTATATTTTCTAAATTTTGATTAAAGTTGGAGAAGGTTCAACACTAGAAAATCCGTCGAGTCATGCAAGAAAGATGCGGAAGTCCTATTTGGATTCTAGAAGAGGTACATCTCTATGCATTAACAAAAATGCATTTATGCATTCTAAATTATTTACATTCTATATGTTGGTATATTTTCTAAATTTTGATTTATAGTTGGAGAAGGTTCAACATTAGAAAATCCGTCGAGTCATGCACGAAAGATGCGGAAGTCCTATTTGGATTCTAGACGAGGTGCATCTCTATGCATTAACAAAAATACATTTATGTATTCTAAATTATTTACATTCTATATGCTCTTGTCCAATGTGATATGTTTATATTAATAACTCCAATATTACTTAATGTGGATTATCTACCTATTTTTTAATTATTCAATGCAGACAAGACACCCCTTCAAGAAACTCAACACCCACTATCAGATATTACTAATCGTAGTCATTGTAGTTTGGTTATTTTTAGAACATTAAACTGCAAATATTTTATTTACTATCGTTAATAAAATTTCAGTTGATATGTGAAAATTACACTTAGTGTATTAAATATAAGTAATACCAATTTCGGAATCATTGTAGGTGTCCAGCGTACAAGAGATCAACAATCTCGTGCTTCGGGAAATAGCTCATGTGGTATATTTTACTCATTATACTAATGTTTGTAATGAGATAAAACCATACGGTATTATTCTATTAAGTTTGTAATTTACATTAGCTGTCTGCTACTATTTTGATTAGGTGATAATGGTGTATTACATGCTATGTCAATGAACAAACGACAAAGGCTACAGAAAAATATTCTGTCTTCTGTTGCTCGGACACTAAACCTTGGTGACGATGATAACATTACTGAACCATCTTTGGACTCAGTTCATGGTAATAATGTATTATTAATATTTTTTTTTTTAATTGAAGTTGTCTTATAGGTTCTGTTTGAGAAGTTTAACCTTCTAATGTAGACCTGAGTAATTATATTTCATTATTTTTCTAAATCTATTGCATTATACATATACAATGTTTATTAAAAAAATATATTTTGTTGTTTTCATTCAGGATATCAAGATATTGGAGATCCAACTTGTAAATGCCCATTTTGTCATGCAATTTTGTGGTATGAAGAACGTGCTAAGAAAAGTGAGAAACCGAAAAATCCATTGTTTTCTCTTTGTTGTGAAAGGGGAAAAGTGCAGTTACTATTGCTTCGGCCGCCACCTCCACCACTGAGAAATCTACTCACATGTCAAGATCAGCGGAGCCATAAGTTCCTTGATAATATTCGAGCGTATAATAGCATCTTCAGCTTCACATCAATTGGAGGACAAGTTGATAAATCCATCAACAATGGCAATGCACCTTATGTTTTCAAGCTAAAAGGGGCTAACTACCATAAAATAGGGAGTTTACTGCCAGTATCTGGGGCTGCACCCAAGTTTTCTCAGTTGTATATATACGACACTGAAAATGAGGTGGACAACAGAATAAATGCTATGAGGTACATACTTTATTAAATTTAAATACAAAATAAATAACGCATTGTACTATTTCTCACATAAAATTTTTATAACTTTATTTTATCAATTGTCAGTTCTCGATCTAGAAGCAACCAATGCAATCTAGACGCTGAAGTAATCTACGATATAATGAGGATGCTTGATGGACACAACCCCTTGGTTAAGTCCTTTAGATTTGTCAGGGATCATTTCAAATCCGGTTGTTCCGACAATCTTAAACTCAGGCTTATTGGTGGAAGAGAAACTGATGGTAGAGTTTATAATCTCCCTACAGTCCACGAAGTAGCAGCTCTCATTGTTGGTGATTTTGACGAGTCCTTTCAGCGTCGAGATATCATTATTGAGACACATTCTGGAAAATTAAAAAGAATAGATGAGTTGCATCCGTCATATCTTCCTCTACAATATCCATTGTTATTTCCATATGGAGAAGATGGATTCAGAGTTGGGATTAGTCATAGTGAAGCTTCCATCATCAATGCAAAGAAAAGAGACAAAGTAACTCAGCGGGAGTTCTTTGCATTTCGTATACAAGAACGAGATAATGAGTGGAACTCACTTCTATATGGTCGGCGTTTATTTCAACAATTCTTGGTGGATGGATACACTATGGTTGAATTTTCCAGGCTCAATTACATTCGTTTTAATCAACCTTCTCTGAGATCTGAAAAGTTTAACAAACTACAAGATGCTATCTCAAGAGGTGAAACAGATTCATCTAGTGTTGGTCAGAGAATATTTATGCCGAAATCTTTTACGGGAGGTGACAGGTATATGAGCCAGAACTATCATGATGCTATGGCACTTTGCAAGTGGTTTGGTTATCCAGATTTATTTATTACAATGACTTGCAATCCTAAGTGGCCAGAAATTACAAGATTTCTCACCGTCCGAGGTTTGAGGCCTGAAGATAGACCGGACATTGTTTGTCGGGTGTTCAAGATTAAGCTTGATCAGCTGATTAAGGACATTAAAGACAACGAAATTTTTGGCAAAACTCGAGCAGGTAATACTATTTGTAATTTTTTTGTTCATTAATTTCCAATATCTGAATTATTATTATTATGATGCATAATGATGCATAATATTAAATGTTTGATAGTAACTGTATTTATTTTTTTCTATAATGATGCATAATATTAAATGTTTGACAACTCTCAACTTATGTTGCAGTTGTTTATACTGTGGAGTTTCAGAAACGTGGTTTACCACATGGACACATTCTTGTATTTCTTCACCGCGATAACAAGATACCAACACCAGATGATGTTGATCATATTATTTCGGCTGAGATACCTGATAAACTACTATATCCTAAGTTGTATGAATTGGTATCAAATCACATGATTCATGGTCCATGCTTTTCTGGCGGTATCGATAAAGTTTGCATGAAGAATGGAAAATGTTCAAAGCGGTTTCCGAAGGGATATACTAACAGAACCACAGTGGATGATGATGGGTTTCCAGTGTATAAACGAAGAGACAACGGTATCTCTATCGATAAAAATGGTGTTCTGTTAGACAACAGATATGTTGTCCCCCACAGTCCTCTTTTGCTCAGGAGGTACGAAGCTCACATTAATGTTGAATGGTGCAACCAATTTAGATCGATCAAATATCTTTTTAAATACATAAACAAGGGTAATGATCGTGTCACTGCAACCATTGACAATTCAAGTGATGCTGCTGGTGGTTCGGCTGAAGTTGATGAAATAAAAAATTTTTACAACTGCCGATATATATCTCCTTTTGAGGCTGTGTGGCGTATATTTGCTTTTGACATTCATTATAAGAACCCGTCTGTTCAACGATTAAGCTTTCATCTATTTGGCGAACAAGATATTCCGTTTGATGGTACTGTTCCCATAGATGAAATCCTGGAGAAAAAAAAGAATGAACTATCTATGTTCTTAGCTTGGTTTGTAACAAAAAGTACCCTGAAGCTAGAACACTGACTTATGCTGAGTTGCCTACGAAGTTTGTATGGAGAAGAGAAAAACATATTTGGTCTCCGCGAATAAAACATTTATCCGTTGGAAGATTAGATTATGTCCCACCAGGCGCTGGAGAATCACACTATTTGTCTCTTATGCTACACCATAGTCGAGGCCCATTATGTCACGAAGATATCAGGACCATTGATAACGTTGTCTATCCAACTTTTAGGGAAGCATGTTATTCCTTGGGTCTTTTGGATGATGATAAAGAATACATTGATGGTATAATAGAAGCGAGCTTTTGGGGTTCTCCACATTTTCTTAGAAAGTTGTTTGCATCTCTATTAATTTCTGATAGCGTCTCTAGGCCAGAATATGTGTGGGAAAATACATGGAACGTCTTGTCTGATGACATTCTTTACAGACAACGGAAACACCTTGGAATTCAAGGTAATTTTTTTTTATTTCCTTTAAAAACTATTAAATTTTTCTTAGACTATTAGTATTTTTCTGTTATCTGATGTGTGTAATACCTTCTGCTGCTTTATGTTTATCACATAAAAAGGCACGCCAAAGGCTATTTTGTATATAATTTATGTTGGTGTGGTTACCTGTTTTCCAACAGATTGTGATAACGGCTTATGTCTTTGTTACTTTTGTTGTTATTTTGTTACTGACAGAGATTGTTATCTCTTTTGATGTTGCCTGTAATTGATAGAGTCTAGGTATATTCTTATAGTACATAAGTTTTGTCTATATGTTTATGTAACTTAATAATTGTTATGCATATCATTTATTATAACGATAATTAGTCTCAATATATTAACTATTCCTTCAGACCAATTAATTTTTTTTAACATCTCTCTTTGAAACAGAACTGAATCTAACCGAGGAACAGTTGCGGAATTTTGCATTAGTCGAGTTAGAGAAGTTGTTGCAATCTAATGGAAAATCTCTCTGAGACTTCGTTGGTATGCCTTATCCTGACGAATCCTTGATGACGGATTCAAATAACAAGCTCATCCAGCAGGAACTCTTATATGATCGTACACAGTTAGAGATAGAGCACATTCAACTTTATTCTTCTTTGACTGTTGAACAAAGAGGAGTTTACACTGAAATTTTAAATGCTACTGCGAATAATGTTGGTGGAGTTTTTTTTGTCTATGGACATGGTGGTACAGGCAAGACATTTATTTGGAGAACATTATCCGCTGCATTGCGAAGCAAAGGTGAAATTGTCATCAATGTAGCTTCGAGTGGAGTTGCTGCGTTATTGTTGCCTGGCGGTCGAACAGCCCATTCTCGATTTGGAATACCCATCAACATTACTGAGAAATCCATGTGTAAGTTCTCTCCTGATTCTGAGTTAGCTGCTCTTTTGCAAAAAACAAAGCTTATCATATGGGATGAAGCGCCTATGATGAATAGATATTGTTTTGAAGCATTAGATCGAAGCTTGAAAGATTCGTGCATCGATCCTTCTAAAAAGACTCTTCCTTTTGGAGGAAAAGTTGTTGTTTTCGGTGGTGATTTTAGGCAAATTCTTCCTGTGGTTCCTCAAGGTAGTAGAGAAGATATTGTTTTTGCCTCCATAAATTCTTCAAAATTATGGGATCATTGTAGGATATTGAGGCTAACCAAAAATATGAGACTAACAGTTGGCCAGTCTCATGTCACTGCAAATGAAATTAAAGAGTTCTCCGATTGGATCCTCAAAATCGGGGATGGTAAAGCTGGGGTTGAAATTGATGGAGAAGCATATATTGATATTCCTGATGATTTATTAATTAAAGGTGCAGATGATCATTTAGCAGCTATTGTTGAAAGCACATATCCTTCAATAATAAGCAATTTTTATGATCCAACATTTTTTGAAGGGAGGGCCATACTTGCACCAACAAATAGTACAGTTGAATTGGTCAATGATTATGTGATGTCAATGATCCCCGGCGAGGAGCGTATTTATTTGAGCTCTGATAGCATTTGCAAGGCATTTGGTGATTCAGAAAATCAGCATTCGGTGTACACGACTGACTTCTTGAACGCAATAAAATGCTCTGGAATTCCAAATCATGTCTTAAAGCTCAAAGTTGGTGTTCCGGTGATGCTGATTCGAAACATGGATCTATCTTCCGGTTTATGCAATGGCACCAGATTAGTCATCACCCAACTTGGTGACCGTATCCTTGAAGCCAAGGTTCTATCTGGTAGTAACATTGGTAGTAAGGTTCTTATTCCACGAATGTTATTGAGTCCTTCTGATATTAGATTGCCATTCAAGTTTCGACGGAGACAGTTCCCAGTTATGGTGTGCTTTGCGATGACTATTAATAAGAGTCAGGGACAAACATTATCTAATGTTGGTCTATATCTACCCAAACCTGTTTTCAGTCATGGACAACTTTATGTTGCCATATCTAGAGTTAAGAATAGGCAAGGATTGAAAATTTTGTGCTGCGACAAGGATGACAAAATTGTAAGTAGAACTAATAATGTCGTGTACAAAGAAATTTTTGAAAATTTGAAATAAAATATCGATGTCCAGTAGATGAGTCACCTCCAGGTAGAATCTTTTATTTATTTACCTATTTTTCAAAACATTTTATTTTCTCATGCTTTGGATAAGTGTTGGTACTGGAAGTCTAGAACTCTGTTTTTTTTTTTTTTTTTTTTTTTTTTTTTTTTTTTTTTTTTTTTTTTTATGAACCTTTTGTGGCTTAAGATTGTGCTTTTTTATGTGATGTTCATGATTTGGGAAGATATCGTCTTGACGCGCTTGATCTTGAGATCGATTTTTTTATTAGTGTTTATTCAGTGTTAAATGAAATAACTGCTTGATTGTTTGAATTTACACTACCAGCTAAAAATTAGTTGTGACAAGATTCAAGTGTGGAAAGAGTATCTATGTTATTCATTAAATACCACTGCCCACTAGATTGGTTAACTGAATGTTGAACTGGGGACTCCAACATGTAATGTACCATGATTATTTGGTATTAATTTTATATGGAAGTTATATATGCTTCAGTGACACACACGTTTCTTTGCAAATGTTCTGCTTGCTGATAACAAGCTTCTTCTCTTATTTACTAATAATATTATGATACAGGAGTACTTTATGTTCGGCTATATAATTTTTCTCTCACTTTGTGTCAAACCATCCTTACACATCTTTGTCACTCACAGCTCCCTGTTAGTGGAAAAACAATCTGAGTTCGAGCTATTTCACTTTCTGAATTTCTACATGGCTAAGTTTCCATAAGTTTCTCTTTTAACATTGTAGTTCACTTTTAATGTCACTTTAATGTACATGGTTATTCTCTCTTTCTGGGTTCAGTATTTTTCATGGCTAGCTACATCATCTCAATTTCATGTTTGTCCTTTTGTTTAAGAAACTACATGGATTAGATATTCGTTTCCTTTTCATTTAGAATAGGAAAATGTAAATGAACTTCACATTACAAGTTTGTTATCTGTGAAATAGACCCACATCCCCTGTTTTGTTTACTTCTAATCTTTACTAATGTCAGTAAGCTTCAACTGGCAGATAAGCCTTTTGTGCATTATATCCCTTCATTCGTGTGCATAGATGTTAGTTTCTGTCTGAAATTTGCCTTTAATATTGGATATGATTAAGAATCTAACTTCTGTGCCTCATTACAAGCGTGAATCTTTAAGCCTCAGATTCACTTTTATCTATAGTTTTGTGCTTCATTCCAAACATAAATCTCAAGTTTCAATCCCAGAATGCAACTTATTAACCCATTTCTGTTTGTTCCATTTGTATTTTGTATATACTTACAATAATTAAATTTTTTAACTTTTTTTATTCAAATTATTTTTTCATTCACCCGTGTAGTACACGGGTGTCGTACTAGTATTATATATTTACAAATAAAACTAAGGTAAAATACAACTTTAATATATTCTTTCAAACAAAAAATATATTTTTATAATATAAATAAAATTTTAAATTACTTTTTTTCGTTAATGCAGTTAACCAACCAAATAAACAAATTAATTCAATGCAGAGTTAATTTAGTTTTAGATAAAAGTTTGATCGACT